GAAATTTCAAAAACTTAATCTAAACTCCAAATTTCAAACATAAAACCTTATCATTTAATTTATTATCTTTTTATTTATTTTTCATTTTTTAGAATAAAAATTCAATCTACGTGTTTACAACTAGTATAATTTTATTATATGCATATTATTTATTAAATAAAAGTATTAAATATTTTGTAAAATCTTTTATATGAATATTACATGACAAAAATAGTTGATAAATTTTAGATAATTTTTATGATTTAGGTAAACTATATTTTTTAATTTATATTGAAAAAATATTGATAGAATATTTGATAAATATATAATTTGATAATATTTATTAAATATTATATATATATTGATATAATTAACGATATTAGATTATAAATTAATCTGATATATAATTTAAAAATACTAATATAAATTATACATTATTTAAAAATTTAAAATAAAAATTGTACTCTTATTATACATGGTACTGCTTTCGAATTTGAATGGAATGATCTTGTTTCAAAATAATAATAACAACGTGATGTATAATTACTACATCATCTTTCACGTTTGTTGATGGTGATTGACATATCATCACTACATTGGCAATCTGAGCCCAATTTTATTTTCAGATTTCAGGTTGGTCCGTTTCCAACGCGCGAAGTTTCCAACAAAACAATTTCACAATTCATAAATTCCTCGTATGACCAAAACACCCTTTTCCAGCAAAGCTTGGCATTTTTTACTATTATTCTCCTTTCTTGTTCTCTGCCACACTTCCAAGTTCAGACCTCAGTTCCCAGTTCCCCACTTAAATTTTCACTCCAACGAGCCTCAAATGACAATAATACCCATTTACAAATATTTTTATCGTACCAAAACCAACCGAAACCCCTTGTTATTTGTTTAAAACATCTGTCCTCTTTCGTCCACCCGTAAAACCTGACACAAGTACCACTTTTGGCTGGTCTTTCCATCACCAAACAAATAGTTCCCGCACAACCAAAAAGCGACGTAGAGAAATGTAAATCCTACAGACAGTAACGCTTGGAGAAATGGATCGTAACACTACCGAAGCGCAACGGTGGCTAACTATAGCGGAGAAGCTCCTGGCCTCACGTGACTTGCACGGGACCAGAACATTTGCTATTCGAGCACGAGAATCCACCCCTGTTCTCGCCGACCAAATCCTTGCCGTCACCGACACTCTCTTAACCGCCCAGTCCAACCCTCAAGACTGGTACGGCATCCTCCAACTTGTTCCCTTAACTCAGTCCATGGAAGTCGTGGCGAGTCAGTACAGGAAACTCGTCCTTCTTTTGAATCCTGGGAAGAACGGGCTTTCTTTCGCAGATCAGGCGTTTCGATTCGTTTCTGAAGCTTGGAATGTGTTGTCCAATCCTTCTAAGAAGGCCATTTATGATAAAGAGTTGAGGTTCCTTCAGTTTGGTCAGGTGAGTCAACTCAGTCAACAACATCATCATCTACAACCACAGTTTCAGCAACTGCAAACGCAGACGCTGTTTATGCAACAACCACCGCTTCCACCGCCGAAAGAAACGCAAACGCTATTTATGCAAAGGCCGCAGATAGAATCGCAAACGCAAGTTACGGAACCACTATTTGTGAGAAGCTGTAGGAATAATACTACAGATGGAAATGCCGAATTAGAAGGGGGATGGCAGTTGGGTTTAAATAATAATCTGCCGGAGCCAATTCGTCCGGCTGCGTCAACTTGGCCGAGTCAGATTAATCAGATAGGTTTAGCCGGGCCGAGTCAGATTAATCAGACAGGATCATTTGGTTCGAGCCAGATTAATCGGCCTGAGCCCGAGCCTAAACAGACGAGCCAGGTTAATCGGCCCGAGCCTATCCGGACGAGTCGGGTTAATCAGATAGGAATTGCTAGCTCGAGTCAGTTTAATCGGAATGAGCCGACTCGGACGGTTCAGATCAATCATACAGCTCCTTCACCTCCTACGGAGCATAGTCCGACAGAGTCAACCGGTGTGACTCGGAAGACCGATACGACTCGGCCTAGTCAAGCTACTGAGTCAGAGGATCCGACCTTCTGGACAGCTTGTCCGTACTGTTACGTTCTCTATGAGTATCCAAACGTGTACGCGGATTGTACACTGAGGTGTCAGACTAAGAATTGCAGGAGAGCTTTCCATGCGGTTGTGATACCGTCGCTGCCGGTGAACGGAAAGGACAAGTATTTCTGCTGTTTGGGGTTTTTCCCATTAGGATTTTCGGGGAATGGTAAGAATATGGGCGCTAATTTTCCCAGTTGGTCCCCTATATCGGCCATGTTTGCTTGTCCTAACGACAAGAATGCTGGAAAACAAAAGACTGCCAAAAGGTCTTCACCAAAGTGTTTTATGATGAACATGATGTATATGTAGAAATTTCTGATTCGAGTGGGACTTCTGAGAATGATGACGACGACGATGATGATGAATGGCAGAATGAGAGGAGGAAGAAGAAGAGGGCGAAGAATGCCAAAGGGAAAGGATCTGCTGCGAGAAATGCTAAGAAAGCACAGATTGAGAGAGTGAACAAGGGGAGTAATGAGCAAGTTAGTGTTGGCCGCAGTGGGAACTCGAATGGTGTTTCAATGGTGCCAGGGGGCATGCCAACCGCTGAGTCGAGCATGGTGGCAAATAGTGGGAGGAAGCAAATGGGAAGAGGAGCAAAGGATTTGGGGAAGTTGGATTTGAATGTGGAGTTCAGCAATGAAGTGGAAGAGCCTGTGCCCAGGAGGAGTGAGGGGAATCATGCTGGATACGGTGAGGAGGATAACATTGAAGGGAATGGCTTTTTTGAGGGTCTTGATGAGTTTTTGACTAGCTTGCCTTTACTCTCAGTCGTTGGGGATGGTAAAGTAAAGTCTACTTTAGGGGTATAATGAATGAAGTTTGAGTCTATACAAATATAGTATATAGTAGTAAGGTTGAGTTTGAGTTTGTATTCGATTTAAAATTAGAGGTTTAAAATTTTGTTTGAATTCTATCAAAATTTTTTTTAGTTTGAGTTTGATTTAAGATAAAAATTAAATTATTTAAATTTATTTAATTATGTTTAATTAATATATAAAAATAAATTCGATTCTTATATTCAATAAAAATTTGATTATTTATATTCGAATTTAAACTCGAATTTAAGATATTTTATTAATTTAAATAATTAAAATAATTAAAATATAAAAATTTAATTGAGTTCGTGAGTTAATTGAGTTGAATATAAAAATATTCGAATTCGACTCAATTGATAAGTCAAATTATTTGAATTCGAGTTTATTTGATAATAATCGAATGAAATTTGAGTTTTATTTTAATCGAATATAAATAATTTACGAGTATTAATATATCATTTATATTTTTAATTTAATGAAATGAATTTATTATTATTATTATTATTATTATTAATTTTTTTTTTACAGCATTGTTGTAATTGTATGTAGTTGTTAATAGTATTTAATTATTTGGAGGTACGTGGAATCTCCTTTCATAGATTTTTCAGAGTTGATTTCAACTCTATATTTTGTAGCATCATACTTTGTTGCTCTTGCCTTTTAGAAGATTCAAATAGCAGAAGAAGATTCAATTGTTATGGATTTAGTTACCATTGCTTTTGTGTTCTCAAATCTACTTCCTTTGTTCTAAGCATGACTTTCCAAAGGTTGTTTTCACTACCATTTAACCCTTCCATTCTAGAAAAAAGTGCAAAATATTAGCTTTAATGTATTTTTTGTTGGTTAAATATCAACATTCCCCAACCCACTCAAATGTACTTTTTTTATTGTACAAAAGAGGTCTTCGAATATAAAAAAAAATTTAAAATGTTAAAATATTAAAATATAATTTTTTAAAAATAATTATATAAATCAATTAAATTTATTTAAAATTTATTTAAATAGACAATAAAATTAAAAATAATAATAAAAATGATTGTAGTTATAATTAAAAATTTAATAAAAATTTTATATTAAATAAAATTTATTAAAATTAATATTTAAATTTAATAAAAAATATAATAAATTCAATCATACCGTACAAACGTGGAAACCAGATGGGCCTCAGTGATTCATGGAAGATTTTTGGCCCTCTGTTTAATATCCTTTGTCTTATTACAGTACATGCATCATCTTTTTATTGCGACATTTCTGAAGATCGCTGACTTTTTGAATAGATGTTGAGGCACCCAACAAGTTATACCCATCATTAATTGTAATTATTGGCGATATGGATGGGTGGCTGCACATTTTAGATGCTTCTATTCTATGCGACATGATTCTAAATTAGAATTTAATGTTTGTACAATAATTTGAGTAAATTAAGTTTTTTTTTTTAATTTTTCAAAATTTGAAATTTCAGTTTAAATTCTAACGGAGTTAATTATGTTAAATTTGAACTAAAATTTTAAATATCCAAAATTAAAAAAAAATTGATTTGATCAAATTATCAAACATGGATTAAAATTTAATTTTTACCAAACTAATTTCATAAATTATTATCTTTAGTTTTTATTTAATTATGTAAATAATTTTGTCAAACTTCCGAATAGAGAAAGGCCCAATCCAATAGCATCAGCAAAAATCCTTTGGTCGGCCCTTTAATAATGATAAAAAAATAATTTATTTGATATAGTTTTCTCCGTCTTTCTTGGAGGACGGACAGAACCACAAAGTGTATTTTGATCCAACTAACGTACAACCACGTTTTAACGACTTTCCCTTGTTTTTACACTTTGAATGACTGTCTTATATCTTCACCTGTCCTTTCCTTCTGCATGCCTTTCATCAAAAAAAAAAAAAAAACACTGCTCCTTTACTCCTGACCTGAGACTTTCTGACGTATTATTTTTAGATCCCTCCAATGGCAGCTTTTGCACCGACGTCTCTTTCAAAGGACCCTTTATCAAGTGGAACACCAACGGTAAACTCATTCACGCACACACACTCTCTCTCTCTTTTTCATTTAATACGATATATGCATGTTTATATGCATTTTATGAATGTGGGTTTGCTGTTTTGTTACCAGATCTTTGGTTCCAGGGTCAAAAGTGGGGAAATTCAACAGACCCAGTTGAGACTGTGGACTTCTTTCAGGTAAGAGACTATTTTAAGCAGTTTTCCCACTGTTTAAAATCTCAGATTTGTTTCTTTTACCACTTCTATAGGTGGTTTCTTGGAGAGCTATAGCTCCAAATGTTTCATCTTTTTCTATGTTATGAACTCTTTTTGGATTGAACATACAAACGGGCATGTCTTTAGAAGGAAAAAGTTTTATTCTTTTTCTTTTCTGTTAAATGAATTTGTTGTACCTTTAATGACTTTAATCTGCTACTGCAGAAACTTTTTGCAATTTTACTATTGCTATATGGTGTTTATAAGGCTTGAGCTGATTTAAAAATTGGGAATTAAAGTTGTTGATCTCAATGAATTGAACTGATGTTGATAAAAGTTTCAACCATTTGTTATTCTTCATGTGAGGAAATTAAAATGGTGGGGATTCGCGAAGATCTTTTTCGAATTGGTTCATGCTCTGATTCATCTTGTTTGATGATTTGTTATAGGAGAAGTTATACAATTTAAGATTACGACTACAATGCAAGTTTCTGGGTTGACCCCAAGAGATAAGCTTATTTCCAGTTTGGTTTTAACTCACCTGCAATGTAGTTTCTTGGATTCAGTTTCACTGATAAATCTATTTTATACTGCCACAAATGTCTTCCTCTGACATTTGTAGGAGCAACACAGGTGTGAAATTGAAGGCTTCAATAGAGCCTCCAGCACTAACATGGGAGCTTAAAGGTGACAAACAGGAGAGCATAGTGGAGATGGAAAGCGGATGTGATTTGTTTGATGAAATGAAAATTAGATTCTTGAGTTTCAAAAAGCATAAATACATGTAAGCTGCAAAATCTTGGCGTAGCTGTTTTAGCTTGAATTAGAAGTGGTCTGTCCTTTGATGCAATATTCATGTTTGAGCAGGGAAAACTCAGAACACTTTCAAGCACTTTCCAAGGGTCAATCTCCTAAAGTAATGATGTTTCTTCCGTGAATCATTATAGTTATTTGCTATGACCCATGTTTTCATGTAGTCTTTTGGATTTTTCTTTAAATTTAGTCTTCGAATGTGGGGCAGAGTGATATTTATACTAACAATTTGGAGAACAGGTTATGGTGATTGCTTGTGCAGATTCTAGGGTATGCCCCTCAAACATCTTGGGATTTCAACCAGGAGAAGCCTTCATGGTTCGCAATGTTGCAAATATGGTGCCCACATATGAGGTATATAGTACTGTGCATTTATTTAACTTAGGTTTATATTTGCTTTTCAATGCTAACCTGCCTTTAGGAAATGATATTGTAAATTTCTCTCCTTTTCTGTTTGTGCAGAGTGGGCCATCAGAAACTAATGCTGCATTGGAATTTGCTGTAAATTCACTTGAAGTAAGTCACTCCTACCTCTCTCTGTCTCTCTCTCTCTGTTCCCCCTTTTCTAAGGCTTTGTAATCTTATATTGCCCTCCTATGCCACCTTTGGAAGTATGCATGACCTTTAATGCAATTCTTTTTGCAGGTTGAAAACATTTTAATTATTGGCCATAGTCGCTGTGGTGGCATTCGTGCCCTCATGAGTATGAAAGATGAAGTAGATTCAAGGTTTATTTATTTATTTATTTTGCCAGAATTCAATGTTTAGTTAGAAAAAGAGTTTTTTTATTTTTTTTAGCATTTTAATCTATCATTAGCATCTTCAGATAAGAGAATGAGTAATTGTGTATGCATTGCTTACTTAGATACCTCTCTTGTTTCAGTAGCTTTATCAGAAGTTGGGTTATTGTTGGAAAGAATGCCAAGCAAATTACAAAGTCCGCTGCTTCCAACCTCAGCTTTGATCAGCAGTGCACAAATTGTGAGAAGGTACCACTCTCTTGGAGTTTATTGTATCCGAGTCCCATGAGAATGTTTGGTCCGACACAAATATTCTGCTTTTGAGGTTTCATGCCTGTTTATAAATGTTTCATTTTTTCTGGAATGGACAAAATTTGGCTATAAAATGGAAGAGAACTTGGGAGAAGTGGCTTCAAATGTAAAATCAAATGATGAATTTAATAATATTCTTTTTTTTTTTTCAGGAATCGATCAACTGTTCACTGTTAAGCCTGCTTACTTATCCATGGATAGAAGAAAGGGTGAAGAAAGGGGTGCTTTCTCTGCATGGTGGCTACTATGACCTTGTTGACTGTACTTTTGAGAAATGGACATTGGATTATAAGGAAAGCATCATGGACAGGAAAAAGAGAGTTATAGTGAGGAACAGCTCGATTTGGTGCTAACTTTCTCATTTCATCTCCTTTTATCTTTTGCTTTTGCATTCTCCGTTCTGTTAAGAATGTGCTTGATTTATAAATGACAACACTAATTAAAAAAAATAATGTTTATTCCTTGTAATTTCAAGGAATAACTACTGTGTTGTAATAATAAGCTACTTATGTATCTGTATTTCAAGGGGATCTTGCAACAGTAGGCCTGGGGTTGGGAGATAGATTTTTGTATGTTGTAATTTTGTAATTTTAAATCATTGGTGGATAATTTCCAATTTCGTTTCTTTTCTTTGTCTATATTCTGTACTTCAATAATAAGATGAAACATTAATGCACGTTCTGAATTCAACAGGGTGCTATAATTCTATATGGAGATGAATGTTTTAGAACAAGAAAATTTATAATATGTAGAACCACAATTATCTTATGATCACTCAAGAAAAGAAATTAAAACATAGGCACAAAATCAGTCAAGAGAGAAAGGCAGGCAAACTTTGAAATGCTTCAGTTAACAGTTTCAAACATGGAGTGGAACTAGAAGAATAAGAATTTAAGATAGTGCCTCAATAAGATAGAAATCAGTACTAACCAGAGGGTGGTAGTGGCACGTTTGCGTATCTTTGAAACATGAAATTCAGAAAAGAAAAACTATGATGCAGTATATTACAATATGATTTTGACGTACATATGCATTAAAACTATGAAACTATACAGATGACTCTCTACACCTCATGCCACTGCCTGTGTAATTTGAAACACATACCTTAAATGAGATTTTTAAACCCACTAACAAGATTGATATATTATTGCTTTCAACCTATTCTTACAGGATTTTTTATCCCCGATCCTGAACATGAAACTTCAGTTGTGGCATTGATTTGGAATCATGAACGGGTACACTCAATTCCCTTACAGATTGACAACCAAATCACAAACAATAGTAAGCAAACAGCTGCATCAATAGCAAGAACAATTCGGACATGGCGCCACCATTTTTTTCGAATGTTCTGAGAGACAGATCTGATCCTCATTGAACCCAAGTCCTTCTGCAATGAGATTGAAGAACTTGCTCCACTTTGGTTATTAGAATCCAATGCTGTTGAATCAACCTTCACTCCTCTATCTGTAGATTTCCGATGCTCCTCCAACTCAATATCTCTCACTGCAATCACATGATCCTTCAACTTTTTCTTCTCTTGCTTGCTAGACTTTCCCAACAAAGGGGCTTTAGTAGAACTAGTAGCTTCAAGTTGCACATTTGCATCACTGGGAGATGGGGAGAGGCCTGCATGACCTGATGAGGGAGCCTCAGCCTTCCAATCATTGCCACTATATGAAACATGTTCTAATGAAGTTATCAAACGCAGGATAACAGGCAATAGTTGCTCCTGGATGCCAATTGAACTCGTACCTGAAAAGCTACCTCTTGAACCTTTCCTAGCGACTTTTTTAAATTCATCTCTCATGTGCTCTAGAAATTGAAGCACACCATGGTTTTCAAGACCCTCATCAACAACTGTGAAATAAACATACCCATCTTCTATCAAAAACCCAAAAGTCTTTTTACGTATTGTCTCAAAATACCACTTGTGGAATTGGGGAATCCTTTCCAAGCACAAGGCAGCCAGATTTTCTGTCTCATGATCTCCCCCACTATATTCATATAGAGTCCTGTTACCTTTTGAAACACAACAATAATGAACAATATTCTGTATGGATCCCATTGGAGCTAGTCTCAGCATGCAATGAATCGAACTAAGCAGCAAGCTTTAAAACCATCTAAAAAACTCAAATCTTCAACTCCCAATTGTAATAAGCTTTCAATGTCAAATTCAGAGTTGTCAAGAATCTAAGCAATCAAGATCAGGCAAAACAATAAGTGAACAAACTCCTCAAGGAAGGATACTAACACTGGGAAGAAGGCCATTAATTCCTCAGCAACAATGTCCAAAGCCCCGAAAAAATACCAACACAGGCCTTCTGCTAAGTACTCAAAGTCGAGAATGAAGTCCCTCATGCCTGTAACAAAAAGGGGGTGGGGGTTTCACATGAACAAATACCAACTCAGCCAATATGTAAATACTAAACACACTCACAAAAATCAATCATAATATCACGGTATGCAACAGAAACTCAATAGAATTAATGGACTGCTAGATAAACTAAAGTCAAAATACTAGATTTGGGCAATACTCCAACAGCCCCCAAACCCCATAGCGGTTAAAAACCCAATTACTTACGCAAAACAGATACCAATAAATAATGATTAAAAGCACAATATAAAAGGAATCAATACGTAAAAGCAAAAACCAAAAATATTTAAGGAAAACCCAGAAATTATTCTCAACCGCAATCAAGAGATCTACATAAATAAACACAGAAAAAAAAACAAAAAAAAACCTTCAAACATAACAAAAAAATCAAGCAAAAGAAATGTTTGACTTTTTTCATTCAGTAATTTTTCACAGCAGCAACCAAGCAAATCATTAGAAGGGTTTTTTTTTTTTCAATTATTATTATAATCACGATCATTATTCATTACCTTTGAACAAGGTCTTCAAAATCTGGAATAAAAGTTAAAATCTTTACATGGAAAAAGAAGAACTGAAGGGAGAACAAACGCCTTGGGGTTGAAAGTTGAAAGAGAAAGACGTTATTTTTTTGAAAAAAAAAAAAACCCAACTGTTTTAAACGTTGTGCAAGGGTGATGTAATGGATTCTGATTGATGATTCTTGGTTTTACTGCTTCAAACAATGTCGTGTGTTGTTGTTGTTGACGTTCTTTATGACTTTTTTTTTTATTTTGGAAAGAAGAGAAGGAAACCCGACGTCGTTTCACTAGGAGATAAAATATCAGACTAGGTGGGCCCCACATGTTTCTGACGTGGACGTAGTATGTTTAGTGACGTGGACTGTGGAATTATACGATGTCGGATAAGCTTCTTCCTCAAAAACTATTTTTTAGGGTTCTAATTTGAGACTCAATAATCAAAGATCGCTCTTTTCTTGGGGAAGCTCTGATTTTTAAAGGGTTTGAGATTATTGGGAAGGCAATGGAGGCAGAGGTGATAAAAGCAGAGTTGGTATTGCCGACGCATATGACTTTCAAGAGGATACAAATTTATGAGAAGTACCCAAAGGGCCAATCGAAAGTCAGATGGAAACAGCTCAAGCAAATCCTTCAAGCTGAAAATTACCAAAACTACCCTCCTGATGAACCCAATTGTAAGTTTCTTTCATTTTTTCTTGTAAGGGTTTTGTCCATTTATGTTGATAAGTATCATCAATAGTTCAGATTTGGATGAAGCTGTTGTTTTTCAGTAGTTTCAGTGAAAACCTTACAAATTCCTACTCAAAAGATTGTTTCAATATTAGTGTATTTTTATCTTTATGCCATGTTTAGAAGCTTCTGTTGTTAAAAATAGCGAACCCGATTTCCATGTGTTTAATTTGGTTTTGCAGATGTTAATATTGAGTCACCACCTTCAATGCATCCGTGCAAAAGAATTTGTGATATAACAGGATTTGAGGTACGTGGTTCTGTTAATCACTTGAAACCTTGACGATTCTAAGATTATTTTTTCAGAATATATGATGCTTGTTTGACTTAAACTTTATCTCTGTTCAGTTGATATCCTAGACTGCCTGATTTCTATACTCAAAAGGGAAATAATACTATGGTTTGGTTTGTCACCCGTCTTCTTTAAGCTTCCAACTGTTTTCATGTATCTTTCCACTTTTTTTCTCAAGTAAAAAAGAAAAAAAAAATGTTTATAGTATGCCGTTCAAGGATGTTGATTGTTGCTGTTGCAACTTGGTTTAGATAGATATCCTGTGAGTACTGCATTTATACTAAGCTAAACTCAACATGCTGTTAATGACTTTCATTTTCCTAGTTAAATAAATGAATATTGCTTAAACTCCTCGATTCAAAAGAAGGTGAAATAGTGTAGGCTACCTTGTCTTTCAACCTGCACCAAGTGAGTGGCTAACTGTGGTAGATACTGGTGCTATGAATTGAATTCCTGAATGGTTTTGCCAATTTTGTTTTGAAAATATTGTGTGAAACTCCTTCTGCAACCAAAAATTATCTACAACTCAGGTATACTGTTTTGGAGTCCATTGCCCATGCTTGAATTATTTACATATAACTTGTATTATAAACCTGAACTTCACTGTTCTGATGAGGCAAACTCTAGCTAGTTGCAACTCAAATAGATCATTTCAATTTCTGGAATACAATGAAGAGCAATATACTCATCATCGATGCGCAGGCACCTTACCATGATCCAAGGACCAATCTTCGCTATGCAAATGCTGATGTTTTCAAGCTTGTGAGATCTCTTCCCAATGAGTATGTGCAAAGGTATCTGGCTCTGAGGAAAGCAGCAGTGGTTTTGAGGTGACGTTTGGGTATTCAAGAGATGTGGAAGGCCGGCTTTGGTCATGAATCAAATATTTACTTGACAATTAGATCCGTCTTGACTTAAATGAGTCATCCTAGAGGTATCATGATGTAAACTACTATTTATTTGATTGATGGATGGAAGGAATACAGGACCGAACGTTGTGTTCCATTCCATCCCTAGAAACCTCTACAAAACTGAAGTTCTTTCCTTGAATAGTTTCAGTTAATTGTAGCATGAGATAAACTGGAGTCTCCTAATGCAGTAATTTTTCTATGCCCTTGAGAAATGAGAGTATCTGATTCAATGCCCCCCAAAGCAGGATCATTTCTATATAGGATTCAATATACTGGGTTTTTCATATGTTCATCCATAAGAATTTGCACCAAGTTCTGTGCGGAGCAATTGTTTGTACTTAGAAATAAAAAGTTAATAACAATTGATCTACTTATTTATGACTACTAATCCAGCATCTATTTTTTGTCGCTATGTTTGGTGGGAAAGAAGTAAAATGGAAGGAAGGAAAAAAGAGTGAGGAAATATAGAAGAAAGGTTTGGTAAAAAGGATGGAAAATGGAGGAAAGGGGAAAAGGTGAGAAAAAAAAAAGAGAAAAGAAAATTTATTTTTTCTTCTTTAAATGAAAAAAAAAAAGGAAGAAAAAAAGCCGTTAATTGTGTCCATTGTAAGTAACCAAACTACAATAATTTAATTTAATTTTATATATCTCAATGAAGATTTAAAAAAGAGAGAGAAAGAGACAAAGAAACATAAACACATTGTCAAGATGCAAAAGCAAGTTGTAGATAGTGGAACAACCAAAACGGCAGATAAAGCTCATGGGTGGTGCATGTTTTGTTGAACGGCTAGTTGAGATAGAAATTCCAGCTTATGTTTGAAGGAATTTAACTGAAATTAACATGTTAAAAAAAAATTTAGCCTTCCAAAGGAGACCAACTCCAATCTGTTAAAACTTGATTGCTTTTCAACCTATAAAGATCAAAATCCTTGAATAAACTGGTGAGAACAGAAAAAATTTACTTTACAACTAATTATGTTGGAGTCAAAGGGATGTGTCATCGTATCAGAGTTCGATAGATCCATGGCATGCATGAGACTTTTCAGTCATGAATAGGTGAGAAGTTGAGCTAACAAAATGTAGAATTTCTCACCAACCCGCCCAAGAAAATCCCCCTGTTGTCCACTTCCCAACACCTATAAGAGGCTCATCAGCACATGCAATTGCATAAACAAGCACACAGCAAGTATTCATTTTGAAGCACTTCTTCTCATCTGTTTTTTAACCATGGCTTGCCATCATTTCCCTTTCTTTATACTACCATTTTTGCTGGTCACTTTGTCACTGATAAGCAGCAACACAATCTTGGTTGGTGCCCGACATCTTTCAGAGACATCCTTACGTGAGAAACCTGAGCTTCCTAAACTGGAATGGCCTGATATACCTCCCTTCCCCAAGGTTGAATTCCCAAAGCCTGAGTTGCCAGAAGTTCCAAAGCCAGAAATACCAAAAATGCCTGAGTTGCCAAAGCCTGAATTGCCCAAAGCTCCTGAGTTTCCAAAAGTGCCAGAGTTGCCCAAGTCGCCTGACTTGCAAAAACCTGAAGAAGCCAAAGTTCCAGAGTTACAAAAGCCAGAATTACCTAAAGTTCCTGAGTTGCCAAAACTTGAATCGCCAAAAGTTCCCGACTTACCAAAGCCTGAATGGCCAAAACCTGAGGAGCCCAAGGTTCCTGAGTTGCCAAAGCCTGAATTATCAAAGTTTCCTAACTTAACAAAACCTGAAGAAACCAAATTTTCGGAGTTGCCAAAGCCTGAATTGCCCAAGTTGCCTGACTTGCCGAAGGAAGAAGTGCCCAAGTTGCCTGAATCGCTTACCATGCCAACTCTTACTAAAAACTTCCCCATCCCTTCCTTCACTCCACCATACACAAGCCCTTGAATCATGACACTGCCTTGTATTTCCCTACATTACATATGGTTTCTAGGTGTTCTTATAGAAGAGTGTTGATTAGCGGATATGGGTATTCATTTCATGAATCACTTGTAGACCAGATTATTCTCAAATTTGTGGTTGAGTAGTTTTGTTTTTGTCATCTCTGTATTATCATTTTTTCTTTCTCAATAAATTTATAGTTATATACAAAGTTTGGTTTCCCTGTTTAGTATGTTCGATTTTGTTTAACTTAGAGCATTTGGCACGCTGTGTGAATGAATCATTGGTATGGATTGTCTAATGACAACACTCAAACAAACAATTGCTTCTAAACAAAGTTATTCAAATTCAGGAATGTGATCCATGGCTAAAAGAAAGGAGCAGGAAAAGACCATGATAGAATTCTTTGCAAAAGCACATTGATATGACCACCGACCACAGGATAACAGTGGTCTTCATATTCATATAATCCTTCCTGGTTGTTCAATCCTCAAACAGTGACAGCCAAAATTTGGAGGAAAAAAAAACCCTAATAACTGTATTTTTTTTGCCCATCAAATAACCGTGTCTCATTACTCGATAATTGAGGGTTTCTTGTCATATACTAAATTGTATGGTTACCTGAATCAACTTAGCGTGTTTGGTTAGAAGAACCATGTTTCATCATGATATGAGTTACAATTGTCCATACCAAAAAACGAAAAAAATAGTTAGAAATGTAAACTTTCACTTAAACATATCCCTGTAGGCAATGAGATTGTAATGACAATGTATAAAGGGAAAAAAATGAAAATTAAACAAAGAAAAAAAAGAGCAATTTGGGGTATATGTAACTATCTATGGCTGGTTCACAAAGATACTTCCAGTTAAACAGATTTGACCATCCATTTGATAAGCCATTTCTATATAACACAGGGGAAGCATCTAAACTGGCGAGGTAAAACTTGTTCAGAATAAACTGATATAGCATTCACTAACCTCCAATGTTTTTATGTACTAGATAACCTTGTTGGATTGAAAGTTTTTTTATATAAGGGAGGTCATAACCTAAAAGATTAGAGAAGGAAAATTGCAAACGCTAGAGATCAAATCTTAAAATTACAAGAATCTACCTCTTAAGGGAGATGGGTAAATCACTTAAGCAAACCCGAATAGAAAATTCTTGTTATTGTTTCAAAAACAAGAAATCAGATCTTACTTTAGTAAAATCAGGAGTTTAAAATAGAAAGAAACTATTTTAATTCTGTAATTCGATCATTAAACTGAAAAGAACTAAAATAAAGGTAAGAAATGAAGATTTAAGAATGAAAGAGATAAGATTGGCTTCTTTATTAAAACCTTTGGTATATAATTTGGCTATAAAAGAAAAAAAAAAGTTTGGGTTTTTTTTGGTGCTTATATAATTATTATGCAAAATTTTAACTATCTCCTAATTGATAAAATCACTCATTTGTCTATAATTAGTTTTTATTTTTCACCCAAGCAAAACCTATGTGGTCAAGTAAGGAGAAAGTTGACTATATGAAACACATTAAAAAAATTTCTAATTAGTAGAGGTTAGGGGTGTCCATGAAATCAAGTTCAATTGACATCTTGAAAATTCAAATAGAACTCGAATCTTATACAACTATTTATATTATTTTATTGTTACAAATATATTTCATAATTAAAATTAAATAAATTCATATTATATGTTGATATACTAAAGTCAAATTCGAACCAAAAATTCATATAAAATTTGGCCCGAAATCTAACAAATAGCTGTACTCGTATAGACACCTTTAATGGAGACGTCTTTACCAACTAAACGAAATAAAACTTTAAAAGACCATGGTCATGAATGTAACAGTCAGGAGATACGTTAAGTCTAGAATAATATAGTTTGGCTAAGATTCAAGTCAAAAAAAAGGAATTGAAACTAAAAGCATGCAAACAGTAGGCTACCAAGAGCGGATCAAAGCCCGTGTTGCCTGCAAATTGTCCCTTTTGAGCCAGTTTATGCCTCCTAATGGATAAAGACACATGTTTAGCTCAACTGATCCTAAGAACTAAGTTAAAAGAAAGACGAGGAAAGTTGCCAGGCTGAAAAAAAAAAAGCTGATAGATTACATAAATGATACCTGTGATTGTTATTATGTCGTTATAACCTGCATTCTATACTATATCATTAATGTGATGAAATGACTCTGGGAACTGTGTACATAAGTTTTGACTCATTAATTTCAGAATTTTTTTTCCAATCAGCATTTTCTGATTACCTGACCAAAAGAACTCAAATTGGTAATGTCTTATATAATTATTTCTTTAACTTCCCTCTGTTTAATTAATTTTTGGGAATTGTTGATAAAGCTATTTGAAGTTAAGGTAGATAATTTTAAATATGATATAGTGATACAATAAATATATTAAAATGATATGTTTTAAAATTTTAATAAATATATATATGTGTTTTTTAGAGTTATGAGATAAAAAATTTAATTTGTTATTATTGTTGTATATATGAATTGACAAAAAAAAAGTGTTTCGTGTTTGATATATAAATACATATTGTGGCATGATAATTATTGTATTTTACACATATTTGATACGAAATAAATATGATACAAATTCGCAATCATCAAATTTATTTGGAGCTAAATTGAGCATATTTTTAACATGACAGGCCATTAGTCAAGTATTGTAGATGAGAAGTTGTACTTGCTACGTAGAGGAAATCCCACCGAACCAGCTTTCAAGCCTCCTATTCTCCACTTCTCACATCTACAGAAGGCCGCTTGTGACACATGAACAACAATGCACATCAAATACACTCAATCTTTGCATTTGGTTAAGGCTCACTATCTCGTCATCTGCTTTAACCATGGCTCATAATGTTCGCCTCCCTTTCTTCATTTTACAACTTTTGCTTATTAGTTTGTCACTAATGAGTAGCAACAGTCTTGGTAGGGGCTCGACGTCTTTTAGAGACACAGACAACCTTGCCAGAGAAGTTGGACCTTCCTGAGCCTCAGCTGCCTGAGGTGCCTAAAGTTGAAGTGCCACCTTTGCCTCAAGTATCAACTTTGTCAAAATTTGAAAAGCCTGTAAGTGCCCGAATGGCCCAAATGCCAGAGATGGAAAAGACGGAAGTGCCTAAGTATCCTGAATTTCCAAAATACGAGATGCCCAAAGTGCCTGAGAAGCAAAAACCTGAATTGTCCAAAATGCCAGAGTTGTCAAAACCGGAAGTTTCCAAGTGTTCTGAGTTACCCAAATCAGAAAAGCCTGAAGCGTATGAGAAACAAAAACCTAAATTTCCCAAAATGCCAGAGTTTTCGAAGCGAGAAGCGCCTGAGTATCCCGAGTTACCCGAATGGGAAAAGCCTGAAGTGCCTAAGAAACAAAAACCTGAATTTCCCAAAATCCCACAGTTGTCAAAGCCAGAAGTTCCCGAATATCCCGAGTTACCCAAATCGGAAAAACCAGAAGTCCCTAAGAAACATAAACACTAATTGCCAAAAGAACCATAGTTATCAAAGCCGGAAGTGCCCGAGTATCCTAAGTTACCTAAATCAAAGAAGCATAAGGCATGAAAAGCAAAAACCTGAAAAAATGCCAGAATTGCCAAAGTCAGAAATACGCGAGTATCCTGAGTTTCCAAAACCTGAATGGCCCAAAATGCCTGAATGGCCAAAGCCAGAAGTGCCCACGTTTCCTGAATGGCCACAGCCCATATTTCCTCAAGCTCATTCAACTACTAATTCTTGAATCATTACACTGCAGCTTGTGTCTTCATTCAAGGAGCATAGAATGCTTGGTGTCCAAGCATTATATATACATTTGGAGTGTTAATAATTGGTGAATGTGTGCATTCCTCCAACGAGTCTCTTCCAGAGAGGGGATTCATATACTAATTCTCACTATTTGAGTGCCACACCCATGTAGTGTATGATTCTGAATGGTTCGTTGTGTGCTTATATTTTACTTAAGTTAATGATGTTACATGTACTGTTAATTTCACTAAGCTTGATTTTATATATCGAAGTGTCGCATGTAATAGAAATTCTATATGTTGTTAGTAGAATATAAAAGTTTCATATGTATGATTTTACTGCATCCATTTAATCTTAGAGATGTTTCTAGGTTTTGGTTTGATACTGTAAGATGTTCTAGTTCATCTTAACAACCAAAGATGCATTGTAATGCAGTTCATTGATCTGCGTAGCCGTTGTGGTATAACTTTAATGGCTTCCAGAAGTACTCGATACCAGACAACAAACCAATAATCAAAACTCTTTGTAAAGTCTAACTCAGAGAACCATTTGACTCGGTCCATAATTGATATATCTGTCTGATCACTTTGGTGACTGAAGTATCTGAATATACCAACTACATTTATATCTCGGAAGAAGATGGATTAGGAGTTAAGCTAACAAGATATTGGAAATAGGTTTCCGCTTTTTCCCAAAATGACAACCTGAACCCAAACTCACTAACCTGACAGGCCAAGCCATACGCTATGAAGTTATATAAGCACACCACCAGGCCTTGTTTTTCTCACTCGAACCAAAAGCAGTTTCCCTTCTTGTTTCAATTCTCAAAAGAATTATCAGATAATGGCTTCTTTCTATTACTTGTTCTTGACCTTTTTCCTGGCTTTGTCATTTGCAAGCATTGATGTTTACCTGGCAGCTAGTCATCTTCTGTAATTGCCTCAAATGCCTCCAATGCCAACTTTGCCTAGAACTATACTGCCTCCATTGCCATCAAGTCCAAATCTGCCACAGCCAACAATACCGACATTGCCAACTATTCAACCATCTCTGTACCTCCACTTCCTATCATGCCTACCTTGCCCACTTTGCCTACTGTACCAAGGGCCACTCTGCCCTCACCACCAAGCATGACCTCAATCCCAACTGCAATTCCCTCCATTCCATTCCTCTCTCCGCCACCTGCTTCTTCTAGTCCATGAAAGCTCTACTCCTGTCTCTTGACAGAAAAGGTCTGGATACCATGGATTGGCTTTAATGTGTTATGGTCGTAGCATGTAGGTAGTTCTATTTTTACTTTCTCTATGGAGATATCAGAGGCTTTTCAGCCTTTTAGTATCTATTGATTTTGAGAAGTGTTCTTTTTTTCACCACATATATTTGTTTAATTTGTACAAATGGGAGTTTCCCATTATTTGGTGTACTTTGTTACCTTGTTACGGGGTTTTTATTTATGTTCTATTCAATTTTTCCTCCTTTTTCTCTTGCCACACCTTTTTCTTACTCCCTTTTGATATTCCCATTACTTTTTCTAGCAAAATAAAAGACCATGAAAACTAATCAATTACTGTAACCATTGTTAACAGCAGTCATTGACAAGTTCAGCAGAGAAAAGAATCAAAAGTTAAATGTAGACAAGATAATGGGGAGAACTGGGTAGCTACAACTGATGCCTGAGCTTAAAACAGGATTCAGAATTGTACATTAAATTAATTGAACAGAGCATTGATGGAATTTGAGAGACCAGTGGTAAATCACAACTAAAGATGTTACAACGTTTTAACTACTTGGAAAAAATAGTTCCAGACTTTGAAAAAGTCCCCATTATCTTGGATTACTATAGGATAGAGAATTAGACGTTGATGAGTTGTATGATACTTTAGCACATTACTGTCAACAGGTCTTAAATTAATCTGGACGGTAGTTTTATAGAAAATGAATTGGAAGAAACCGCTCCTGATATCAATAAATGTAAGGTGATCTTCGGACTTCTCGATGCCAAAAGCTAAGTCAAGAGGTGAGGTTTTCTCACGCTTATAAAGTGATAACCAACTTTTTCCAGCTTTTATAGCACTGTTAGATGATCTTGGGTTTCTCCATCGCAAAAACTAGCTGAAGAGATGAGACTTTCCCCCACACTTATATAGCAATCACCAGCCCCTTCCTCTACCATTGTGGGATAACCTCAATATTAAATGCTGCTTATCCTCAACAGAATTAAATCCTCTCGCGTTTCTGTAAGATTAAGTCCCATCCCAAAGGAAAGAAAAGAAAAATGAACTGGCTTAGTAGTTACAACTTCCAACCAAAAAAAATGTTTTTTCTTGATTGTTGGAAACCCAATGCTAATGGCAGATTCTACATGGAGGTGTATACTGAAGTCCTGTTAGATAACCCACCAATGAATGGAGACTTTGACAGCCTGGACGGTTTGGCCAAGTCTACTATTTGGCATATTATGTAAGTGGCTGCCTTAACTAGTTCCGGTAGCTTCTTTGCCAACCACAACTCCACTTGACCCAATGTCGATGAGAAGATAAGCTAACAAAACATTTAAAATGACCACGCTTTATCTTTTATAACCACATATCGATCAGATATCACCAACCTGAGAGGCCAATGCCCCCTTTCTCCAAGGCCATATTAACACAACACCAGGCCTTGTCCTCACTCAAACTAGTACGACAACTTCTTTCCTCCTTTCAAAAAAAAAAAAAGAAAAAACATTCTGCTTAGTTTCAAATCCCTCGAAACGGACTCTTTCAATTGCTTTGTTTTAGCATTCTTCATTGCTTTGTCATTTTCAAGCATCAACTTTGGCCTAGCTGCTCGTCATCTTCTCCAGCTGCCACTTTTGCCACCATTGCCGACTTTCCCTGGAGCAACATTGCCTCCGTTACCATCTATTCCAAATCTCCCTCAGCCAACAATCCCAACATTGCCGCAGCCATCTCTAACCAAGCTCGTAACTCTACCTCCACTTCCTAGCCTGCCAACACTGCCTACCATCCCCAATGTACCGAAAGTCACCCTGCCACCTCTGCCTAGCTTGCCCTTAATCCCCACAATTCCAACTATCATTCCATCCATTCCATTCTTCTCCCCACCACCTGCAAAAATTACCCCTTGAAATTGTCCACTTGTCCTTCCTGATACAAGTTTAGCCATTTATTTTGTTTTATTTCACTGTCAACGCTTTTCTTTTTCATTTTCCTTTATGCTTTTTCTACCATAATTGTCTTCACAAATATTGGAAGTTTGATATATAGGTGCATTGTGTTATCAGAAACCACTTTATATATATCCATATTGGAGAAGTTATTGAGATTTGCCATCTACTTTTATTATTTTTTTTCCCATTAAAAGTTGCAAATGCTAGAATGTACACCATTGCACGCCATAAGTAACCTTAGAGCATCTAAGGCAAGAGATTGATTGCATTACAAATTTACAACCGCTTTGCCCAAATGTTTTAATAAAAAATTGTTTCAGAAACCAGATAAGCCATACATCAGCTCAGCATATGGCTTATTCCGTCTACAATTCTTCAACTATTTGCGTTATTGGGTCATATTGTAAGTTTGGGCTAATGTATTGCCCATATGTTAAAAGTCATTTTATCATAACAAGGTCCAATAACGATAAATTACTAAATTCCCCTTTCTTGTTGGACTACAATTCTCAAATCTCTTAAGCTCTAAAATGGTTAAAGTTGTGCTCCTTGAACCACAATTCCTTGGAAAGCTGACAGACCAAAAGAATTTGAACCAATTTCAGCTTTGCAGAGATTCAAACATTTGTAGAGCATTAAAATCTTAGTTTTAATTATCAAGATTTTGTGATAAAAAATGAATTTAAAAAATCTATGTACCCAAAAAGAAAAGTATATCCAAAAGCTTGGATCTAATTCTGAGATTTATTTTTTCCTGCAATATCAAACTTTGATTCAACATAGGGCAATGACTAAAAACTCCCAAGATTTTTTTCGATGAGGATGAAAGATAAATGCAAGAAAATCAGATAAATCAGTTAAACTTTTGATACCATATTCAATGTAATACTACTGATATGCATATCCATTAGTGTACCAAAAACGAACCTCCATTGAACTTTAATATGGTATTACATAAGTTAATTCCAGAAGACAGTTACTCAGAATTTGTTGAATTCTCCTTGGTTTCTTCATGTATATCAGCCTTATTGTATAGGTGTTCTTTGATTGCTTCATTTATTTGTGTAAAATGTTACTTATATACAGTTTTCTTTGTTTGTAGCATGGTTGGCCTTGCTTTCTTGGGATAAATAAAATAGTCATTTATCCCCAAAAAATTTTAAATTTGAACAAAATTTTATTTTTTAACTGGCATTATTATTTCACTGTGAATTTTTAAATTCTACAAGTGAAAATATTGTCATGTGTTTTTTATTATATTAATTTTTTATTTTTAATATATCCTAAAAAATATGTGATAATCATCAGATGGAATTTAAAAATTCTATTGATAAAAATAAACAACTTTTGTTCTCTTTAATAAAGGCAGAATAAATTAATGGTGAAAATTTTAACTCCATGTCTGAGTTTAAATGGTTGAATTGTATCTATTTAGGATTATATTAAAAAAATAAATTATTAAATTATTAAATAAATACATGACAATAGTATAAACTTAAATTTGAAATAAAAATTTTTTTTTAACGTTGTTGTATAAAAATAATAATTTTTTATTAAATGGTGATTCATGAGATTTAATTTATTGTAAGTCATAATCGGAACATATGTACATATTTTTTCTTATTTGCATGAATTGTAAAATAATAGTAATTGAGCATTTTTGTAAATTTTCAAATTTTTAGGTGTTTATTTGATCAAAAATTGATTGGTTAATAAAAAATAATTTACTAGTCAATGAAAAATAAGATTATTTTTTTGAAAATTATCTTACAAATTTAAAAAAAGAAAGACATTTTTTGAAAAAAAAATATATCTATAAGTATAAATATTTATTAATACTTTTTAGCATAATTTTACTTCTAAATAATATTATATTGATAAATAAATAATATAATGTTACAATATATTAATAATTAATATTATATGAATAAATAATATACAATTAATAAATATATTAATAAATAATATTATTATATATTAGTAAATAATATTATAATATATTAATAAATAATATAAAGAATAATAAATAATTTTATTTTAAGTATTTTTATATTAACATAATATTTTAATATTAAATATTATTATTAAAATATAATATTTTTTAATATTAATAATTTTAATAATAAATAATTTTTAATATTTTAATAGTTATATTAATATTATTAGATAAAAATATAAATTTTTTAAAAAACAACTAAACAATCAAAAAATATTTTTTATTAATTCATCCAAATAATAAAAAATTTCTTTAAATTCAAAAAATATAAATATTTTTAAAAATTATTTTTTACAAAACAAACGGAATAAAAAAAAACATATTATCTCGCCTTCTATCCTTTGACCTATTGACTAACGCCTTCTATCCCTTGATTTAGTCGCTAAAAGGCTTTGTGTAAAGCATGTAGACATGATTTTTTTTTAAGGCAACGTGTTTTTTTTTTAAGGGCTTTGTTAAAAAAAAACTGTGATCTCATCATCTTACAGCTTATGAGGTGGCTTAGTTAGACTAAAATTAGATAACCAACCGATTAGATCAACTAGGAGTTTGATGTCCTAATTCATTGGCCCAAATCAACAAGTAGTACTCAACCAACAAACGTAGTTTTTGTCAATGAAAGATGGATGAGAAGGTAAGCTAACTAGAAGAATAGAAACAAAAAATGGAGTCCATGTTTCCCTGGCTATAAAATACCCAAGACTACCCCTGATTTTCCCCATGTAAACCTTCAACTCTCCCACTTGTTCTTCAACCTTTGCTTACTGTAAAATGGCCTCTTCCAACATTTTCATTTTAGCTCTCTTCATTGCATTGTCATTTTCGAGCATCGAGGTTGGCCTAGCAGCTCGGCGTCTTCAGCAATTGCCACCCATGCCTCCAATCCCAAGTTTGCCAACAATACCACCATTGCCTACTCTCCCAAATCTACCACAGCCCACACTTCCAACCTTGCCAACGACTCAACCATCTTTGCCTAACCCTGCCGGCACATTACTTCCTCCACTTCCCAGCTTGCCCAACTTGCCTACTGCCCCAAAGGTGACTCTGCCTCCATTGCCAAGCATGCCTTCGATCCCCACAATCCCAACTACAATTCCCTCTCTTCCTTTCTTGTCTCCACCTCCCGCTCCCTCTAGCCCTTGAATTCATCCATTTCATTGCGCGCAGTTTGATTCCTAATAATTATGTTATGGTTCTTGTGTCCCTGAGAATGGACTCTGCTCACATTCTCTGCTTCAGTCTTTCTTGTTTGTCATCATGTTGCTTACAATTTAAATTATTTGAAAAAGAAGAAAACAAAAAAAAAGACGATATGTTTTCACTGTTAGTGCTTTTAAGTTCAAGGGGAATTTCCTCATTATATATTTGCTGTATGTTCAATTTCATTTTAAATGAATAATAAAGTGTGGTATTTATATTTTTTTAATACCGGCAATATATTTGTTCTTAAACTTAAAAAAAAAAATTTAAAAAAAAAAACTTGGAATGAAAAAAATGGATGATAAGGTGAACGACAAAGGAGAACAAGTTTTTTTTTTTTTTTAAAGAAAAATGAGTTGATTGTGCTCTCACGAATTTAATATTATTATATATCTCTAATCCTTATCCAAATTATTATTTTTTATATGGATGATTATTCTACATTAATATATATTTATTCCTTTTAAATTATGTTAATAATCACATTTTTAAAAAAATTATATTTTTATTATCTTGAAGGTAAATAATATGAATAATCCTAAAATTTTTAGTCATATTTTAATTTGATCTCCAAGTTTCATGCTGATATTTAATTGTTAAAATATTTATCATTTTGATTATTTTATCCGTAAAATCATTTATTATAACAATATATGTCAGTCACTTATGCCATATCATTGGTAAGAATTACAAACAAACATGGTGCTATTTTTTAACGCCATGCGTGCGTCCATTTATGCCATCTCATCATTCATGTGAGCTTCTTTATTTTATTTTATTTTTTTGTCATTATGCCATGTAGATATCAATTATCTCTAATTTATTCGTCAGTTAAATTAATTAAATTTTTATATAATTTTAAAATTTTATGATTATATTTATTATAAATAAAATATTACAAATTTATTCCTTCAAAAACATATTTTAAATTTATTTGCATATAATAAAAAATTAAAAACTTAATTTCATTTTGCACGAAGACATACATAAACGAATATTAAGCATTCAAGATTACATGAAGTTAGGAACATTGCTCCCACACGGCATGAAAAACAACCTCAACTAGGCCAAATTAAGGTTTCACAAGGGAGAATTAGTTGCAACTCACAACTCATTAATCCTATGTTTATTTTTATGTTCTTACTTGTAATTTAACTTTTGCCTTTTATATAAGCGTCTCTTTCTTTCTCTCCCCACGCAAAACCAAAATAAAAAATAAAAAATCTACCCCCTCATCTCTGTTCCTCTTGTACTAATTTCTTCTCTGAATTTTGGTTCGGTTTGGTTAGGTTTCGGATGATCAATGGTAAGAAAACGTAAATCTGGGACATTCTGGACCTGCATTTATCTGATCTGACATTGGTAAAGAGAGAAGAAGAGCACAAAAAAGAGGGAGAGGGGAGGGGAGATTCAGGAGTAGAGTGACCATGGAGATAGAGAGGTTTAGGTCGTTGTTTCTCCTCTGGTGCAGAATCAGAACCTCACGTGTTGCTCTTGTGGGTGGAAACCACACCGCTGCTAGGTTTTGCTCTCGATAAAATAACTTCCTTTCTCCACTGTTTTGGTTTTGTCTCTGTGTTTTTGTTTCACCAATCTCTTGGGTTTTGCAGCACCCTCTTGCCATCTGAGGTACCCTTTGGCCAATTTGGCGAAATTTAGCGAAATTAAGCTCGTTTGGCTTCGTTTCAGATATCGATCCGGCCATTTGACATGGAGATGGGAGGTGGGTATCGACCCCAAACCCACAACAACAATCAGATCAATCATTTGCAAGGTCCAAGGATTTCATTAAATCCTGATACCCTTTTGGTTATTAAGCTTCCGGATCCAAGGGTCTTGCTTGTTTTGTCACGTTCGCTGTTTTTGGCAATGCTGATTATCACATTGCCTTGGATTAGGTTCTTTTTAAAGGGACCTTCAGGTTCGGTTTTTAATGCCATTGATTTTCATCATAATTCTGGTTCTATCAGTTTGAATTATTGGAATTTGCTTTGGCAAGATTTTGTTAACGAGGGTCTTATAAAAAAAGGCCATAAAGCTCTTATTTTGAACTCTGCCATCGAAGGCGTGGCTGATGGATGTTCCAGGTTCGTGAACAATGATGAGATTGATGTAGTGTTGGAGCCTGATTTGGAACGACAAAGTTCTTTACCAGATGAGGGGTTTGATTTTGTATTCGTGTCTGGCTCTCTTGATTCCAAGTTTGTTGATCGTGTTGTGAAGATTGGTGGTGTTATTGCTATGCAATTGGGTGATGACATCTCAAGCAGTTATCAAAAGCAGTCAGATTACAGAATTGTATATCTTAAGAAATATAGTTCAACCATTGTAGCAATGAAGAAACTTGGTTCAAACAACCATTTGTTGGATTCCTCAGGAAAGCGAAGGCTTTGTCAGCTCACATTGGAGGCTAAGAAAGCGGCATTGAAAGGTTTAGAAGATGTTTTATTTGAGCCACCGAGAAGAGCCTTGGTTAAATCACATGTTTACTTGAAGAAAATCAATTTTCTTCCTGATCTGTTAGGGGATTCTCTAGAGCACTACCCCCGTAGAGTTTTCATTAATGTGGGGTCTCCTGAGGAGAAGAATGTTGTAATGAAATGGTTTGACAAAAACTATCCAAAGAGGAATCAAGAATTTGAGGTTTACAGTTTGGAAAGGGGATTATCTGGAGGAAAGGCAAGAAGAGAGACTCCTCGGATTGATGTTTCGGATTGGTTGATGAAAAATGCAAGAAAAGAAGAGTATGTTGTGATGAAGGCAGAAGCAGAAGTGGTGGAAGAGATAATAGAGAGGAGGGCAATCGGTTTGGTGGATGAACTGTTTTTGGAGTGCAACAACCAATGGGAAGATGGAGGGAAGAAGAAGAAGAAGAAAAAAAAGAGCAAGAGGGCTTATTGGGAATGCTTAGCTTTATATGGAAGGCTGAGGGATGAGGGAGTTGCAGTACATCAATGGTGGGAATGAGAACTAAGGTATGCACATGCTACAATCTACATCCTTTTGGGTGATGTTTGTTGTAATATTTAGAGTCCATGTGGGGGAGTTTACATGTGATTTCTCCAAATAAAAGCATTTTATTCCTTAGTACTAGTAGTAGTCTGGTTTCTTTATCCAGGTGTTGATTTTCATGTTGATTGTCGAATCTTTTGATGTTTCTTTTTGTTCTTTTAACTTTATGTAAATAAAGATGCAGTATTCAAAGATTTAAGTATTGATCTTTTACTATTTCTTTATGAGATTTTGGTATTCTTGATATCTAAATCATTAGGTATATTATCACATATCTTCTATAGTCTTTTTCTTTTCTTTTTTCTAATCCCAGATGCTTCATTGTCTGGTCTACTCCTTAATTGCAGGCATACAATATGGTCATAGTAGGATTTGGATTCTCATTACAATTAAAGAAATGAAAGTAAAGATGGCTTTGAAGTGAGTTGATAGGACCCGGATTGGGTTTTTTATAGTGTTAGAAAATGTTTAATGAAAAAAGTTGGCTTCTGGGTTTGGTGAGTTTGCTTGCTTCCATGAATGGCCAGTAATTCTTCAACGAAAGTTGAGTTGAATGAAGAGGGATTGGTACTTTCCTCATTTACTACAGTTTTTAATAGCTTGAAATATTGTTGTATTCACTACTTGAGTTTAACCTAGCTAGTTAGTTAAATTCAGCGATGGGTCAAAACTTTTTTGGAATATTTAAGGCAACTGCCACTTTCACTTCTCCATTAAAATGTTGCAAATTATGGTTGTCTTTGTCGAAATGTCCCAGTTCTCGTCAATACCATGATTAAACCACAGGACATTTGTAGACACAAGCTAGGATCATCTACCCATAACTGTCACAAGTCTCACAAACATGATGATCAGTGATGAATGGTTTCATGATTTAAATCATAAACATAATGATCATCTACCTCAACATTGATTCTTGTTTTTTCCTTTTGTTTTGCTTGTATCATTCATTTTGGGACGTGGCTAGAGAAGGCAATCTAACCCGAAATCGGTGGGTTCCGACCAGACCCGATCTTTTAGGGTCATTTTAAAAAAAAAAAAAAATCGGGTATCGGGTTGGTTGGGTAATACAAAAAAAAGTCAGTTTAGCTCATCAAATTTTTTTATTATTAAGTAATTACTTTATTTAATTTTAAAATATTCATATAAAATATTTTTATTTTAATAATCAATTTGGATTGAGCAAAAGGTTCGATTAAAAATCTTTAAAATCAAATTATTTTTAGAGTAATGGATTTGATATAATCTCAAATATAGATAGACTAATAGAGGTAAATCAAATAAATTAATTGAATCGATAATCTAATTAATGCGGCATTTTAATCCTCATAAGCTGTAATGTACTTGTGTCCAATTTTGTTTTTATATTCTTCAGTATAAAGTAAATTAAATTAAATTATAAAATCCTCACAACAAACAAAAGTTAAAAACATTAATATGCTCTAAATAAAATGCTTAAAAAACACTAGAATGTTTCAACACACATAATTAAACATACACTATGAGCAGTTTTTAATTAAAAATTTTATTTATTTTTAGGATAATGTTTATTTGATAGATTTACATGATAATGCTTTATATTGTATTATAAAAATTTTAAACATGATATGATAATTCGATATAAAAATACTAAATTTCAAAATTTTGACAAAAATTATATATGAGTTTAGAACAAAGCAAAAATGTTATTCATTTTGATATGCTTATAGACATTTTATTTTGTTTGGCGTTTAAATTTTCAAAAATACTTTTGATGAGGTATTGATTTTTTATATTATTAGGATCAACCTTTAGTCTAAGCTTAAAAGTTCAATTTTCTTTTTATTACTTTAAGTTTTTTATTATTTATTTTCATTTGTCTTTATGGTTTATTTATCTTCATTAATTATTTTTATTTACTAATTTATTTCTTATATATCTTTATTTATTTCTTAATTATCTTTTTTTTTTTTAAAAAATAAAAAAGAGTCTATAGAAGTGTGAGTGAAGTTGAATTCTTGAGAGGATAGGAATTCATTCAATTCAAGGGTTATGAGTGTAAATGAACATAGTTTTCAATGAATTGTTTGTAAATATGTTCGATTTTTTTATTTGTTTATATTTATTTATTACGCTTAATAAATGATTTTAAATAGTATTTTTATATTCGTTTTTTAAATGAATCTACAAGCATAAATTTGTTTGGTTCATTTATGTTCATGAACAAGGTCATTTAAAGTTTATTTAACCTTATTCGTTTGTTGTTCATTTGCTGTTTGTTTATAATAATATTAATAAAATTATATTTTTATCTTTTATTATAATCTTATTTTAAGGTTCGTTTATATTTGTTTGGGTTCGTTTATATTTGTTTAGAATTTATTTATTTAAATTTATTTGATTATGATTTTGTTTATTGTTAATGAACATGTTCGTTTATATATATTGGTAAACATGTTCATTTAATATTCACAAACGAACTCATTTAACTTAATTAAACTAAATACGAATCGAACGAGAATATCCTACTATTTAAACAAACCTAGCTCGAACAAATAGAGCAATTTTCTTATTGAATGCAAATCGAACCCAAACACCTCTAAAAATAAATGAACATACCACAAACATACATTCGTTTGTTTATATTCGATTCATTTACAGCCTTATTAATAGTTTTGTACCTAGACTAATATCTTTATTAGATACATAATATATTGATTAAATCTAAAGAGTTTGATTTTGAAAAAACTGGGTGAGAAAGGGGATGAAATTCTAAAGTTATTTTAAAGATAATTTTTAAAATAATCTTTGATTGAATTAGAGTCCTTATCAAGTTGGGAATGTACTCTTATAAATATTCTACAAATTTACACAATCAACACACAACAATCATTGAAAAAATTTTAAGAGAAAAAAAGTTTTAGGCAGTTCAAGTTCAAATTTTAGGCTTTTTCCAAGTTTTGATGATTTTTCGATGAGATTCTCAAACTCTGACAAGATTTTCAGATTATGGTAACATTTTTCCAGCAAGCATTAAAGTTCTCGACGAGAATTCTAACAATACTTTCAAATTCCAACAACGATTTTCAATTTCCCTAAGCATCAACCTAGTTTGACTTGACAACAACCCAATTACAGATCCAACCTATAGCACCAGGATCTAGCAACCTACATCTCACACGCTTCGACCTAAACCGTGTATCAAGTTGTTAAGCCATAATTTTTTTATTCAGTCGAGCTGCTGTCAAGTCCAAACCAAGCCGTTGACTCTTTTTTTTGGTAATTTATATTTTATTTTGTTTTTTAATTTATATTATGTAAATTTTATTCATTCATGTTGCTTAAATTAAGTTTTGTTAAAAATATTTTAAATAAATCCATGAATCTTATCAAACTATTAAAGGATTTTTGTGAGTTTAAAATGTTTTCCATATTATGAATCTTGCCAACTATTGGAGGATTTCATAAGAAATTTAAATAAAAATTATTTTCAAATTAATCCTACTAAATTATTGGAGGATTTAAATCTCTAAATTAAATTATTGAAGGATTTACATCTCTAAATTAAGTGTTACCAAAACTATTGGAGGACTTATTGAATTTTCTTGAAAAATATTTTTCAATCATATTAAACTATTAGAATATTTAAATCTCGAGTTAAATATTACAAATTATTAGAAGATTTAATAACTCTTTTTAAAATTCTACGAAAATGTTTTTAAATAAAAAAATTCATCCAAATTATTAGGAGATGTGTATCAAAATAAAATCTTACTAAACTATTGGATGATTTTATTGATTATTTTTAAAAGTAATTAATTCATGAAAAAATACATTAATAAATCAAACAATGAAACTTTTTCAAAGTGGGACACTAGTCTTTATGAATATTCTTGAGGTGAAAAAATTATCTTAAATTGATATCAAACTATTGGAGTAATTTTAAAATTAATTTTTAATAATTAAATTATTTGATAAATTAAAAATATGTTTTAAGTCTTGGATAGTACATGTTATCAAATTCTTGAACTTAGTTTTGGTTTCATGGACTAAAATTTATCTTTTAAAGATATATGAGTCAAATTTGAGATTTTTTAAAAAATGAGACAGATTCAGTTAGATAATCAATCGCACCTAAAAAAAATAGTAATAATTTCATAAATTATATCTAACAATAAATTCACAAATTTATACGTTATTAAAATGCTAATATAAATTATTTAAAATAATTTTTGTATTCTATATATATTTGCGACAAAATAAACACAATAATAATGCACGAATTAATGAATGCTAACCATTTCCTCGGATTTTTTTTTTCTTTTATAGCTACAGGCTTCTCGAATATGTACACATATATACTAATGTCACGTTTTATGCATTACTGCAGGTGATTTTTGTTAAATTATTTTAACATTGAAATGTAAGAAAACAAATTAAAGTACAAAAACAAATCATAATTTTTAAATTGATAAAGCAAGAAATTATATTCAAATAAGTATTATAATAAGGAAAAGTTTGGTGTATTATTAACTTTTAGTTTACCTTATTCCTTTTTTTTTTTTTTTTAATTAGAGATTCTTCGGGGAATAACTTGAAAGCAATGTAACTTGTTTTTGAGTCAGGTAAGCTATCATCAGCATGATTTGATTAATGTGTATTTATACTATTTAATTAATATGTTAAATTTAAATTACATTAAACACCAAGAACATTTATCCATAATTAATGGAATTCATAAATGATTAAGTTTATATTCATTTATTTTGGATTTGATTCATAATTAATAATAAAATATGAATTTAGACTTAAAATTTTAAATGATACAAAAATAGAGTATATTTATCTATAATTAATTTAGTTTATGAATAACATAGATTTATGAATCTCTAAATTCATAAATAGTTCAAGTACAAATTAATGTTACAGTAAATATTATTAGGTAAACCTAGATGACATGTAAAAAAAATTTGACATAGCAATTAAAAAGACCAAACGAGATGAAAATAAATTGACATGACAACGTTCATGTGTTACAAAGATAGATAAAAGGGATAAAAAAATTTATCTATGTTAGATATATTATATTATTTAAGTTTTTATGAATGCTTTTAATTTTAAGAAATTTTTTTTTGAATTTTAAGAAAATTTTTGAATTTTTATTAAATTTTTAAGATTTTTTGATTTTTTAAGTTTCATATATTTTGTAATTTTTATAATTTTAAAAATATTTCATCTTTTTTTAATTTTTAATATATATTTTAAATATTTTAGCTTTTTTAATTTTAAAATTTTTTTTTGAAATTTTCATTTAATTGTTGATGTCACAATTAATGATATGACATCGATTGAACTTTTTAACACGTATCAATATCTTATTAGATGTTCATGCCTTATAAGTAAGTGAACTAACAACGTTGTTTAAAGCACTGAAATCTTAATGAAATGAAAGTTTAAATACTAAACTGATAAGAGATAGACAATTTATATCCTCACTTCCTCTCTTCACCCCTACTGTTATTAATACCCATTCTTATTCTCTTCACACCCTAAACCAAAACACAAATTTATTAAAAAACCTAAATACCTTACACCCCATTTATTCTTCTTCATCGTAAACCTTAAACCTTTTAGGGATTAAGTCTCAAATCAAGCTCCAATAACTCATTTGATGTTAGATAGTTTAAAATCATAGGTAAATGATTTTTTTTTGTTTGATTTTGTGTTTAATTTCAAAAGATTTAAGATTTTAAGTTTAAGAATGTAATTTGGGGTAGCGATTTGATCATTTCAAAAATAAAATTTTGAAAATTGTTGAAGATTTTTGAAAATGCATGTCTGAAAAACTTATTCAATGTACCAAAAATTCATTTTTGAAATCCTTCAAAGGCTTCCAAATATCCATTTTCAGAAACCTTTAAGAATTTTCAAAAATGTGTCTGAAAATTTATTTCTAATATTTCTTAA